GTGTGTGTGTGTGTGTGTGTGTGTGTGTGTGTGTGTGTGTGTGTGTGTGTGTGTGTGTGTGTGTGTGTGTTGGTGCTCACAAATGGGCTATCTGCGATATAAATGTGGTAACACTCACATGAGAAAATAGGCTGAACAACGACTTCTTGAAGAAATCTGACCTACACCTAGAAATGACGAAAGTGATCACGTTATCTCAGGGCCACATTTCGGTCAGCTCACAAAGACACAGCTCATTAGCTACTAGCTATTCTCGGGTAACTAAATAATACGCTATGGTGGCAGTAGATTAGTCTTGTTGTTAGGTCATCGGACTAGCAATCGTAAAGTAGTTGGTTGGAATCCTGGTCTGGACCTGATGCTGTTACCTCAGGAAAGACATTTTACACAAATTTTCTCCACTTCACAGTGGTGAGAATGAGTAACCGGCAAACTGACTAAAGCTCTTTTCAGTATTTTAGGGTTTGAGCGCTTGTAAAAGCGCCAGCTTTAACTGAATGCTTACAAGAAAGCTGAAAACGCTTCGAGAGTTAGATCTATGTAGGTTTTGTCGGGACCGCAATATTATTGTAATACGCCGGGAGCTTACTTTATTTGTTATAGGGAGGTGCGCTTCATAATTGCCACTACTGTTATTGACATCGATAGATCGATAATGTCGTCACATTATGTTAAGTAAGTAGCGACATGTATTTAGTATTCTGTGGTCACTAATTCCGTCAAAGGCAAAAACAATAGCGCAACACACGACCAATGACCGATATTGTTTATAGTAAGTCTATGGTTGCACGCACGACATCGATAGAGGCGGAAGTAAGTGGGCATTGACGTTTTCTTTAACATGTCGGGGTAATAAGATAATATATAAAACGTTGCTGGGCTGAAATATGCTTTCTACATATTACGCAATATATTATATCATCAAGTGAAATAAGGAACGGGTGGTGGAGGGGAAGGGCGATTTCAAGGAAAAAAAAAAGAAAAAAAAGTCAATAACTACGTTTAAGAAAAAAGCATATTATTTAAAGAACTTTGTTACACTATTTAAATTTGAATTAAGCAGTACATAATTTACATAAGAAGCACATACATATACCCTTTTCAAATGTCGTGGAACGGTATATAAAACTGAATAGGGGTTTATAATTTCTTTTTGGTTTCCACATACCTAGAGTTCTAATGACAAAGATATATTAAGGAGGCAGATCAACAAACTATTCCCTTTGAGCACTGTACTTACACATCTAAACACGTACTCTGAGGTAGCATGAGGGGTGTGTGTGTGTGTGTTTTAAAAATTGCTTGTTGTGTTGGGGTTGGTGGGATGGGGATGGGGGCTGGGCTAGGGGATGGGGATGGGGGCTGGGCTAGGGGATGGGGA